TAGAACAATCTGTTCATATGTGGTACTTGGTGAGTCCTTGGATCTCCATGTACGAAAAATTACTCCTTCCTTCCGAACTATACGTGATGGATCCTCCTTCTTTATCCATGACTGAATCTCGCAATCTTTCTCCTGGTCCATTATCAGTTGTTTAGTCTGGTTGGTATTTTCTATTCTGTTTCTCTTCTGATTTTGTCTTCTCTTCTCTCCTCTAGTCTGATATATCTTCGTCCGAGTTGTAGGTTGAAATAGCTCCTCCTCAAATGGAAACTGTACTCCTAGATCTTCATCTTCCAGTATTGTCTCCTCCAGCTCACTCTCTTCTCTTGTCTCTTGCTCCATGGCTTCACTTTGCTCCTCTGATCTTTCGGGTAATGGCTGATGCTCTTCTGAATGCTGCTCCGTATCAACTTGAATCTGTCTTCTCTGAGCTCTTGTCATCACTGCTAATGCTGATTCATCTTCTGACTCTTTAATCTCTCCAATATCAATCTGATGCTCTTTAGCCAGTTGTTTCAGTAGCTCTATCTGTTCTGATTTTGGTAATCGCTTTGCCATATGTTTGTGTAGTGGTACATCCCTTCCCAACAGCACATCTTCTGCTAGTCCTTGTACTACTGCTGCTTTCACCTGGTAATCCTCTCCATCAAATGTTATCCGAACTGATGCTAGTGGATACTCCCCATAAGTTCCATTCCCAAAAGTAACTCCAATCATCTCCTTCTCTATGTCTTTCAATGCTACAAACTTCCTATCAACCACAGTCCTTGATGCTCCGCTGTCTATCTGAATTCGCTTCACATTGTGTCCATTGATCTTTCCTTCTCCATGCCAAATGACTTCCTCTGCATTCTCTTTGGCTCGTAGAGTTTTCTCCGTACAATTTCTTGCTATATGCCCCTTGCGATTACACTTGTAACAGGTAATCTCTGAAGGTGACTTTCTCTCCTTCTTGTTTCCAGTAGATCCTTCAGTCTTCCTTGGGAACTCCTTTGACTGACCATGATCCTGCTTTGGTCTATTCCTCTGTGGTAAACAACTATGAGCTGTATCATAAGATTCAATAAGCTCTCCAACTTTCTCTGGTGTCTCTGGGTTCTGAGAAGTTACCCAGATTCTCATCTCTTGTGGTAACCCATTTAAAAGCTGCTCTACTGCAATCTTGTTAACTACCTGTTCCATTCCATTCTCTGGTACTAACCATCTCTTCACCAGTTTGACTCCTCTAGCTATCCAATCAGTTGGGTCTTGATCTCTTGTCCAAACATGACTCCTGAACTTTCTTCTACATCTCTCTGTGTTGATGTTATAACGCTCTAAAATAGCTTTCTTGACTCCATCATAATCAGTAGTAGTTCCCAGATCAGTACAAACAGTTCTAGCCTTGCCACTTAGTAACGGTGTCAGACGTAGAATCCAATTTGTCCGATTCACCCCTTGTATCTTCATAATACCTTCGAATGCTTCAATGAAGTCTTGGATATCCTCCGTTTCTTGATATGGTGATATTTTTAAATGAGGACTATTCCCTTCTCTTTCTGCTAGAACTCCTTTCATAATCTCTATCTGCTGCATATGCTGCTCCTGCATGGCCTGTATCTCTTCATAATGTCTCTCTCTTTGTCGCTCCTCTTCTCGACGACGTTCTTCAGCTTGTCTCTGGGCCTCCTCCCAACGACGTTGCTGCTCCTCCTGAAGCTTTGCTAAACTTGCCAAAGCTGCCGCTAATTGCTCCATCGGATCACTAACTCCTGTAATAAGACTTTCTTCCACTTCAGTACAGTCTTCTGTGTCAACTGAAGTATAACTCTCTGCTGAAAATATGTAATCCCCGCAACTGTCCTCTGTAGTCGTGTCTTGGTAAGTCCCGTAGAGATACCGCCCTTGATTCTCTCGACTGTTATCCGACAT